CATTTCTCTTACAGTTTATTGGGTTAAACTAATTATCATCTCTTTAGTAGCCAAATCATCCAAAAAGAAACATGAAAATATAACATTTGTGAGAAAATCCCAGATAAACTTTTGCTTTTGCTTTGTTTACATGTCACAGTTTACTTCATAGTTTCTATATGACGACCCTTTCCCCTCCCCTTTTCAGCTGAAATGGGCCAACAAGAGGTTATTTATAGGTTGCTAGACTGTGTCCCATGGCTGAATATGCTGCATACCAGACACAACTGATGAACACTGGAGATTGTTGATGAAAGGCATGAGAGAAGCCGCCCCTTTGCAGCTCTAAAGGGTGTCACTGGTATTTGTTTGACTACCAAGCACTTCTACAGACCAGATGTCATGAATAAAGCAGAGCTCAAGGACAGGAAACGTTTAAAAGTTCAAAATGAAAGTTGTTGGATGAAGTGAAAGACATGGAGTTAAATGATTTTTTTAGAAGAAGCAATCCAAATTTAATGATTGTTCATTTCATTGATGGATGAAGCGAAAATGTTGCTTATCTTTAAAAGGTCTTATACACTGACAGAAATATCCCAGATTGGACTTCCCCTCTTTGACTTTTACATCGACTACGACTGTATTTCTCACGTCTCTGTTCCTTCCCATCCCTCTCCACTCTGCCCCACACCACAGTCATTCAGTCTGATCTCATGGTAGCTTGTAGGAAGACATCACTGATGACTAGTAAGAGGAAGTTCCCATGGCAATGGGGTCGCCGTTAGCTATAAATATGTTGACCTCGTCATGTTGTCCGGTCAAAGAGCAGGTGAGGACGCCTGTTAAGAGTGGCAGTGAGAATTTGTGTAGAATAGTTCCCAGGCTCTCCATTACAGAGGCTGGATAGGCCTAAAATATCCAGCTTAACAAGTTATTAGCCCTGACACAGTAATTGTTTTAAGTTAGTTTTAGATTGGAGTAGATTAAATTAGTCTTTATTGTCCCAGAAAAATTGTTCTGGGAAACGGCTGACATAGTTCCATCCAAGTGCAATCAAATGCAGCATGCTGTATCACAACTAGATCTGCAAACACTAGACCAGAATATATTTCACAGTACGGTACACTGTACTTTACTGGATCCACTGAATTATAGTAGCTTCATTATTACGTTAAACTGTAAAATAAAAACAAACCCCTTTTAGTCTGAGCACCGCAGTGTTTCTATGATCCTAATGCGAGACTTTCAGTGACAACAACCATTCTCTTACAGATGAAATCCCATTCATACGTAAACAAATATAACCCCCCCCCAAAAAACTAAATTTCGAAGCTTCCTCAAAGTAATCTTTTATGTTATAGCTGATTTAGTACAGGCATTAGCAAAAGACAGCTAGTGTTAGCCAATGTTAGCAAACCTTACCTATGAAGTTATTAGGAGAAGTCATAAAGTCAACTTTATTACTGTGCTATGACTAGGGATGGGT